GCGTCATTGTTCCATTGTATAAAAAATGATGATCATTCGATCGTCAGAAATCAACTATCTGCTATGGGAGACCAAATATATACCTAATTTCAGAAATGTACCAGCGAAGATTACGCTTAAGGTAATTCTGTCAGAATAGGAGAAATTTAAACTTTTTAGATGGATTAGGGTGTTAGTTGGAAGGAACCTAAAACACCTCTATAAAAGGCGCATTTCCTGTGCTCCAATTATAATTTAATTTATTAAAAGAGACTGCATTGGTTCGATTACGTGATACAGAACACCTCAAGGCTACCTAAGTTCAAGAAATGGTTCAAACGCTGATAATGAAAATATCGAGTATCAAACCATTATACTATTAAAACGAATATATCCAGAGAGCCTCTGAAGAACAAAGACAGCGTGATTCTCCTAACTCGATAGAACGGTTCAGAAGATGTCACAAAAACAGTCCTCTTCGGCTGTTGGTCACGGAGCAGCAACAGTCACAGAATGGTAGAATCGAAACTCCGCCATTGTCGGTTCAAAGTTCGGATGTGAAAAGATGAGATTTGGGGACCGTGGCGATTGCTGCCGTGAAACTAAGCCACGTGCCTCTCATTTTATTGACGTTATCGAACGATATGCAGATTCTATTACCGCCGGAGTTAACAGAGGAATGTAGGCTGTTTGGAAACAGAGACAGACCGTGAAAACACAGAGATGAGAAACTGCTCATTGCCTTCCTACAGTCGGGGTGTCGCAGCGCAGCGGCTGCACGGAATCAACGGAACGACAACGAAGATAACAGTCAGCAACAGAGTCGATACCCGTTATGAAAGTAGGGGGTAGAAAGCTCGATTCCATTTTAGCCGTCAGAAAAAAATCCACCCAAAAATACCTACAGTGGAAGCTTACAGTCGGAAATTGGAATATATTCTCACTCAGATGTAAAGAGTAAGAGTTATTTATCTTCGACAGTGAAGCGTTGAAGCCTGGAATTCTGAATCTCTCCGGATGGAAAATATCCTGCTCAGGTGCGACATGATGACGTGCATTCAGGCCACTGCTGGTTTTCTGGTAGAACCCAACCTGGATGATAGAATTATTGAATGGAAGCCTGTTAGACGAAAAGTGGCAATCCTCCGACTGAAGCTACAATACGCTGAATGGGCTGAAGCCTTGACTTCGTTACAAGTCTATGCGCCTAATTTGGAAGAAGAATATGAGACCTTCCTTGAGGAAGACAAGTGCATTCATACAAAGTGTCGAATACGGAATCCTTCATACTCACGGGCGACTTCAATGCTCATGCCGAAGTAGACGCTGAAACGTGGAACGGCATGATTGGAAAAAAACGGCCCTGTCGACCTCAACAATAACGGCATGAAGTTGTTGTGGTTCTGTGCAAACGATGGACTGTCCATTATGAATACCTTCTTCGAACATCGAAAAGTGTATGAGTACACCTGGTACCGGGAAGCTTGTGCACAGAAGTAGATGATCGATTTGATAATCGTATCATCTGACGTAAGACGCTCAGTAATGGACGTTCGTGTTAAAAGAGGCGCAGAGCTATCAACCGATCAACACCTTGTTGTTGGCACGCTGCGCTGTAAGA